GCTTGCCATGTCAGTTACCAATCCCAGCGCAGGCAGTAGGAGACTCATGCTGGCCACAGAGTATCCTTTCGCCCACAGCTTCTGGGAGAAAGTGAGAGCAGGACCCGATCCTGGACCCCCATGCGTGAGGGGTGAGGTGCTCTTCCCCCCGTTAAGGGATTCCTCCCCGGCAGGTGCCCCGATCCAGCCCGAGAGGAGAGCGATCCGGGTTCAGATGGCAGGGCCTGCAACCCCTTTGTACAGGAGCAATGGATCGGGCAGGAAGGAAAATTAACACCCCTCCCAGCATTGAGAGAGCAATGGGGATGGGGGGTGGCAGTGCACTGCTGTTCCATGTCCCCTGCCCCATTTGGAAACCAAAGCACCAGCCCCCCTAGGACAATCACACGGGGCACGGGGGTATGTTTGGGATGGGGTGTAGTCTGGGGGGGGTGTATGGGCATAGGCAGGTCAGAGAGTGTGTGTGTGGAATGGAGGGGTGCATGGGGGCTAGGCAGGGTTGAATGTGTGGGATAGGGGTGCATCAGTGTTTAATTTGTGGCGGGGCTGAGCCCTGGCACCTCTTTCATTACAAATTAAACACTGTACTTAACCTTCAGGTTTCTCTTCAGGAAATCCACCAAAGCAGAATCAATAGTATGATACATAATTATGTTGTATCTTATGGGTTTGTTTTTGTGGTGGTGATGCGTGTTGGGCTTTCATTTGTTTTTTGAGCACCATGCTCTACATCCTTCCAGTATTTTGTAAATGAATATTTGTTTGCTTGCAGTCACTGATTGCTACAACACTTGTACTTAATTTCTTAAAATATAGTTTAAACACAGTTTGAGAGGCTAACTCAAAAATTCTAGAGAAATGCTAGGCTTGTCTAATAAATTCTCTAGTCTAAGGGATATCAGTAAGGACCAACATCATGTCCCCTAGGGATCGCCAGGACACAGTGTAACTACATTTTAATATAGAAGGGAGCAGGGGCACTGGAACAAGTTTTATAATGGGGGTGCTGAGAGCCATTGAACCAAACTGTAAACCCTGTATATAATGGAAACCACTTCAAGCCAGAGGGTGCGGCAGTACCACTGATACTGGCAGTACCACTAGTTCCAGCACCAGAGGCTGCTGAGTCTTAACCATTCAAATAACAGCCGAGAAGAAGAACATGAGCGTTGGGTAAAAATGGAGGCAGCGGTATAAATACATGACATTCTTTGGATAAACAAGAGCAGACCTGGGAGTCTGTCTCTCCGTGCATCAGTTTGAACAAGGAGACTGTTAGAAAACAATCATTTCTTTTTAACAGTAACATTCTGAATTCATAAAGTAAAATCTTGTTTCAGTATCCAGTTTCGGGGTGGGGGGAGGGGGAACCAAAAAAGTATGATTTGGAGAGTCTGGTACGTGCTCTCACACAAAGGAGTACCCGAAGGTGGCTGTTGACTGATCTCTTGATGCTTGGGCAGAACTGAGGAGAAAGTCTAACAAATGCATCGTTTTGCAGTAAATTAGATCAGATTTCCGCATCTCCGCACTCAGTCTGTGAGCTGACAGTTCAGTAGAACGTTCCCTTGTAAGGTTCGCCCTCTTAGGAAAAGGGGCAATAATTCATCATTAGGATTTCAGAGTCCAGGTGTAGATGAAAACTGATGGAGCCTCCAGCGAGGCAGGGAAAGTGCACAGAAGAAGAAAATTTTATCTGAAGCCTAATTCCCTGGTTACAGCAGAGAATAATTAAGATAATATTGCTTCAAGAGTTCTTTAATGATTAAAAATCACATATGCAGAATCCATAAATTGGAGGGCAACAGATTGGAAGGATATAGCATCAGAGATCTGTTTTGTGCGCATTGTACAGGAAAGTACACCAGTGGCAGAACAGCAGCCTGGGCAGCCACAGGAGACCGGGCCCATTCCAAGGACTTTGTTTAGATGCAACAAATCATTTGTCTGTTATTAACCCAGAGCTTGTAATTATGCAGATTGCCATAGATTTTCCTGGGCCTGGAAGTGAGATTGAGGGTTGTTCACACTATAGCAGGCAGCTCAGGGCTGGCCATGCATTACTGAACTTGCCACATTTATCATGTTGACTGATGGCAGCAGAAGCAGGTCTCAGGTCCCAGTGGTTAATGTAGTGGGTAATTAACTGTCATTTGCCTAGTAATAGGCTGATGATCAATGGTTTGTGTGGAAACAAATTCTAATCAGGTAGCTGATAAATGCTCAGGGAGCGAGAGCAATTGAAATTGGTGGAAACTATGTCCAGCATTTCAAAATGGCATTGTGGAGTTTTATTATTATTATTATTATTTATTAATTTATTTATTAATGGGGGGGGGGACCTATGTTCTTCATATAAACAGCTTTATCCAAAATGAACTGCAGCTAATATTAATCTCACGTGAGTTTGTTTGTGTGTGTGTGAGGGGGAGAATTCACTGTAAAGGAGGCATCCTCTCCTCTGCTTAGTTGAAATTTATAAATAGGTCTGGTGCTTAAAAGTGAAGCAGCTTCCAAGTGGTGCGGTTAGGCCAAAGGAGCGTACAATAAAACCCACACAAAGTGAATTCCAGTGATTTTTCCATTGGTAGGGATGCAAAATGATGGTCCCAAATTGTGTCATCGCACTGCAGCGTGCAAACTATAGTGAACCTCGGGCTTACACAAGTGTTTTATATCGAAAAAGACTTGTCTGTAAATAGTAACACCACATGCGTTTAATCCCCAATCCTTCAAAATAGGTAAGCACATGCTTAACTTTAAATGTGCGAGTGGTCCCACTGAAGTCTTGAGAGTTCCCACTCAGGAGCGCCGCCAGCTTTTCTGCTGCCCTAGGCGACGGAAGGTCCCGCCCCCGAAATACCACCCCTGACAGAGGCAGCGGAAGGTCCCGCCCCCGAAATACCGCCAACAACCGGGGCGGCCGAAGAAGATCCAGCTGTGGCGGTCGCTGCCCCCCAAATGTCGCCTAATGGGTTGGGCCGGCCCTGTTCCCATTGAATTGGATCTCAGGGGAATGGGACTATTTATGTTCTTAAAGTTAAGGGTGTGCTTAAGTGCTTTACTGTATTGGACACTTAAAGCATAACTTCCTTGTTAATGGGTAGTTCAGTATAATAATACTTCACACTTATGGCTCTTATATAGCATCTTTTGCAACCTGATCTGCATTTCTTGTACACCTCTAACTCTCATTCACCTCCAGGTGGGTGTGTAAGGAATGCAGAATTGGGCCCTTGGTCAGACTGTCTCAACAGTCTTCACACGTATTAAACCTCACAATATTCCTATGAAGTAGGTAGATTTTAGGCCTATTTTACAGATGAGGAACTGAGGTTTGAGTAAAGCCCACCCAGGAAGTCTGTAGCAGAGCTGGGCCTAAGGCTGGAATAGAATGTTTAGAAAGGGAACATGGATTAAAAAGCACTGTGTATATATAATTTTAATCCTAAATTTTAACAGTTAACAGAAAACAAAGTTGACATGGGTTTGAATACTCCAACAGGAGCGGAATAGCACAACGCTGCTGATTAAGCCGTGGGGTTCATTATCTCAAAAAACTTCTTCAAATAATGGTAACCAGCACATCAGACAATCCTTGGAAAATGGTTCCGAACTTCAAAATAAACATGCATGTATTTATGCAAAAAGTACATCTTAACTGGAAGCAGAAGGTATAAGGAATTGGAATTAAGTAGGTTTGTTGGTAACTCGTGAAATTCAGTAAAATGGAAGGATGTGATTTAAAAAGTGCATTCATTTTTATGTTACCAAACTGAATTTTATACAGAGCACCTTTGAATTCATTAGTTTAGAACTGCTTTTAATTTGGTGTTTCCCTTGAGAGCCATTATATTTTTCTGCTGTCAGCCTGATGTTGAGGAAAAAAGAACTGGCAGATGTGGCGTTTTCATCTAGTTTGCTTCATAGTTAAAAACAGCATTAACTGCTATACGCAGGCAGAGCATTACTTTTAATAATCCATCACAACTATTAGGTAGTTTAAATAAAACTTCGTTTCAAAGATTGCTGGTGTGTGTAGCTAAAGTATTTTTTTTCTTGTTCATTATAATCCTCGTATGTTACAAAAGCATGCATACATGTAGGGTTTTTTTTGTAGTGATCTCATTTGAAAAGTTTCAAGAAATCTTTAACAAAGAAAAATCTTTTAAAATTGTTTTTTAAAAATATATTAGGCATTTTTACCAGACATTTCAAATTGTTCTTACAATATATTAATCCTCTACTCCTGATGTGGCTATATATAGTTTACAGCCTCATTTACTTTAATGTGCTACCTGAATAACATAATCATAGCTATAACTATGGTAAAGGGTTGTAAGGTGTGTGAACCGCTAATGCTTTCTGACGATTTAAATGACTTGTTCATAAAATGTTCTTTTAATAATAATGGTAAAGCTTTTAGCACTAGATGTCAGAAATGTGGAGAATATTGGCTTTTTTAAGTGTTATTTCTTTTCTAGCTAAAGTGTGTTTTAATAATAAATAGCACTGAGTCCAAGGTTATGTGGCTCTCATATTTACAGTACAATCCAAGTAGAAAGATTCTTACCATATTTCAAACTGGTTGACCTCTGCTTGCATGTGGTTATGTAACTTTCCTAGTGTACTTGTCATTTCCTCATTTGCTTGAACAAGATGTTTCTTTCATTAAGAAAGGTCAGTGGAGTATGTACCAAAGAAGAATATTTATGTATAAAAACAGCATAAAAATTACTTCGCAAGGCACAGTATTATTGTGGCACTGGTTTATAGAGCTTCCCAATGCTATCCCACTTTATCGGCAAGTGGCTTCAAATGGGATTGTTTCATGAGTGCGCTTGTTCTGCTAAATACCAGCTTTTCCCAAGAATGGTACACTGGGAGGTTGAATGACAATTACATATTTTTATAAAGCCAAAGAAAATAAATGGAGGTATAATTTTTTTCCCCTACCAGTTAATCGTATCCTTGAATATCTTCCCTTTGTGTGTCCTCAGGTTATTTGGTGTTACAGGAAACTGTGCTGCTTGCAGTAAGCTCATACCTGCTTTTGAGATGGTGATGAGAGCCAAGGAAAATGTTTACCACCTGGACTGTTTTGCATGTCAACTTTGTAATCAGAGGTAAGAGGACTTCTTGGTTTAATTCTGTAGGCTAACACTAACTGAGCCCAGATGTATATATTTTTGTTTACTGGAAAGAAAGCATTTGCTAATGGTTGAAACACAAGGCTGGGAGTCGCACCCGGATTCTTTTTCCAGTATTGCCACAGACAACCTGTGTGACCTTGGGCAAGTCACTTAAACTTTTTGTGCCTCAGTTCCCTCATCAATAAACAAGAATAATGATACTTCTGCTCACTCACAAGGGTGCCTGTCAAGCTTAATTAATTAATATTTATAAAGTGCTTCGAGATCCTCTGCTGTAGAAAAGTGCAAAGCAGTACCATTTATCATTATTATGTTAATTTCATTTAAATTCCTCAGCTTTGTCTGTTGAATTTCTTTTTAAAATACATACTATTTCTTTCTGTTGACAGAACTCTTATCATTTGAATTTACAGGACATTGCATTCCATTGTTCTTTGTAAATCAGCATTGGTATCCTGTGCCATGTTCTTGTGACATTATAAACATTCCAAGGCCCCAATCCTGCAAAACTTGTTCTGTGCGAGCATATGCCTGCAGCTACATAGAGCCCCATTGACATTCATCCAGATGGAACATGTTGCAGGATTGGGGTCTAAAACTGCAAAATCACAATGGTTGAGATTTTCAAAGTCAATTAGGATATTTGGTCACACAGTTCCTAGTCATTTCATTTAGAGTGGGCAGCTAAATCCTATAGTATGCTTTGAAAATCTCAACCTATGTCATTAGGGTGGAATCTTGGCCCCACGGAAGTCAATAGGGGTTTTGCCATTGACTTCCATGGGGCCAGGATATCACCACTGGAAATTAAAGAACTGATTCACATGTACTATTTTATGTATGTATTACACTGCCTCAATTATTATATAATCCTACATTTAATAACACATTTTACAGTTTACATTTGCATAAGAAGAAATACTCAGCATGCAACTTTCTTAGATAGTAACTAAAAATTACTACAATAATTTTCTAATGTAATATTCACCAAATGTAAATCTAGCCCTAAATAAGCCATGCTAACTTACCCTGTACTGCAGTGTATTATTCTATAGCATTGTAGTAATTTAAAAATCAAGCATCCCCAGAGCAACATAAAATGTACAACTGCTAATAAGTATAGCACGGTACAATTACACTCTAAAAAAGCTAAATTGACCTTTTTCATCATGTTGCATGGAAAATTAAAATATCAGACAAATAATAACCGCAGCTTAAATGATATAATAATGCAAAGTAATTATAGGTTGTAATGCTATTTACAGATCCTGTATCAATTTTGCCTGGCTACAGAACTAAAAGGCTGTATTCAAAATAATGTCTACCCTACCAGTAGAACCCACTGAAGTAAGACACACGCACTCCTAAATTCAGATTCTAAAATCTTTCACATCCCTAGTGCTGCAAACCACTGTTCTAGTATCATTATTAAAGTGCCTAATATATTTCTGTTGTTCGCTTCATTTATTACATGCCATAATGGGGCTGCATATCTTTAGTGTTGGTTATGCACAATTAGCACTTAGTTATTGTCTTGTCACTTCAGCCCATATAAGACAAACTTCTTTAATGCAAGAAGTCAGCTAATCTTCATCAGTCAAGCAAAGCAGACAATTTTTGTTACCCTGAATACAAAAGATTCCGACTTACGTGGTACATTTTAATTTTAAATTTAATTTACATTTTAATTTAACCCCCCAAAACATTAACTATAATCCTTTTCCTATTGCCATAAACGTGAACTAACGTGTGTCTTCATAGTTTGAAAAGCATCAGAGTGGTGATCTTGGACAATTTAGGTTCCTATTAGGAATATTCTCTGCTGCTTTTTAAATGAAGAGTTTTAGTGGGGATCTAATATTTTTGGAACCACTTTGTTGTTGTTGTTGTGGGTCTGTCATCTCTGAGCCTCCAATCTAGTGCCTCATTTGGGGTTTTTAGGCTTTTGGGCAAGCTGCAGGCCAGAGTGCTGATACTCATCAGCATAGGTGCTGAAACTAGCCATGTTGGGGGGAGCTGCAGCATCCCCAGGGTTGAAATGGCTTACAGGGTTTAGAGTTTGGTTCAATGGTTCTCAGCACCCCCACTATACACATTGTTCCAGTCCCTCTGCTCATAAGTAGAAAGCCTTATGAGAAGGGTCAGGGATGTTTGATCACACAGGGATTGCCATACCTGGCGGACACATGGTCCATCTAGTCAAACCAGTGGCCAGTACCAAGATGTTTCAAAGAATTCCATATATTGGAACCTCACAACACAATGGAGCACAATTCTGATCATGGTCTCTGGGTACTATTGTAATATAAATATTTAATAATAATGGACAATAACAAAACCTACCCATAGAGTATGTTTCTTCCTCACCACCTGACATTTGTGACTATCTTATGCCCTTAAGCATTATGATTTGTACCTCTTCTTTTTATTTTGTTTTATAAATTCTAATTTATAGATGTGCATATTATCTATTTTTAAGCTACTGGAGTCTGAACAGAGTCCAGGCACTGCTGCTCTATTGGAGTCGCTGAGCTCCCTCTCGGGGTGCAGATTCTATGTCTAGTATCCCCACCTGAGAGTTGTGATTACATGGTTCCCTGCCCAGCCACTAGAACCAGAGCTGATCCCTCAGGCTCCACCCATAGCCCCGATAGCTTAAACACATCCTCTCCCAAAACTCCACCGGAAGGTCTGAGACTTCTGGCTTTCATCCTCAAAGGGGCATGGGGTACACGTAATACTTACCACACAGAGACAGACTTTGCATGACAGTCTAAACCACCATTGCTCTTTTCTTAACAGATAAAGCACAGAGCAGAGCCGTCCTTACCCATACACAAAGTACGCAGCTACGTAGGACACCAGCCCCTGCTCCGTCTCTTCCCACCCCTGCTCTGCCCCAACCCCGCCTCTTCCCACCCCTGCTTCTCCCCAGCCCCGTCCCCACTCCCCTGAGGAGTGCAGCAGTGCTGGGCCTGCACTCACCAGCGGCGGGAAGTGCAACGGCCCGGCCCCAGCCGCACCACCAGTGAGTGCTGGGGGGTGGTTCCCCTCTGCCCCCCAAGCCAGCCACCCACCCCCCAAGAGGCCTGGGGCCCCACATCCCCCCCCCCCGCAGGGGGGCTGCATGGGGGGCTGCATAGGGCCCCAGAATAGCTAGGGATGGCCCTGGCACAGAGAGTGCTGATCACATAGAAAAAAATACATCCTGAATGGTCCTTGGGGGACCTTCTGAGTTCAAGTATGCAGGGTTCCCTTCGCTTCATCACATCAGGGTGCTGCAGCAGCTTTTCTCTGCTTGATTTGGTGAAAATGGCCAAAGACCCCAAAGAGATTAGCTCCTGTCCGTTTTATAACCTTCCAGTCCCTTTGTCAAGTGACTCCCAGATCAGCCTTCTCAGGTGATCCTAGACCCCTGCCAGGTGACCTCTTTCATGACAAACCAGTTCTCCTGGGTGGGAGCCAGTCTATTTTCTAGGAGGGTTGTATTTGAATAGAAGAACATCCTGAGTTAACAACCTCTATAGTCAGCCCTGTATTAGTCTCTGTTGGAATTTCAGTACGATATGGAGGTAAAAAGGCAAAAGAGAAAGCAGCTTGCCCCACTTTCAAAATGGAGTTTTCATCTTGGTGAAGACACACAGAGTTCATAATCTCACAGAATTCATAAATTGTACAGATGTGCTCTGTGCCAACAGTACCATTATACTTCTATCCCTTTTCCTATGCTTGCCTCCTGTGTATGAAATATCATTCCTGAGCTGACTCACTAAACCCACTGTTCTCATTCAAGTAAGACCCATTTCTACCACTATCCCTACATGAAATGAGTTGAGATCAATATTTTCTTTAAACACACACACGCGCGCATGCATTGAGCTAACAAAACAGGCCAGCCATCTCTCGGCTTATATATTAGATCCCTTTCCCCACTCCCTGTTTTTTGTCCCTTTTCATTGTAAACTCTTTTGGGCAGGGTTTGTGTCTTTAGGGCAGACTTTACCATATTTGGAGTGCTCTTGTAACATAACTGATAGCAATATACCATTCTTCATATGTGCTAACATTTTAATTGTTCAACTATGCTGTGCATTGGGAAGAGGTTCCCAGTAAGCTGTTAGCCGTTAACAGGTCTTTTCCCTAAGTGAATATAGTTAAATTAAAACCCAGCAATGTTGATGAGTGGATTAAATTATTACTTTAAATTTGCATTAGTTAACACTGAATTTCATCTGCCATTATGCTGCCTGCTTGTTTAGCTTTGTCAGGTCTGTCTGAAGTTCCTCAGTCTTCCTTAGCTTTAACTAACCTAAATAATTTTGTGTCATCTGCAAATGTAGGTTCTTGACTGTTCTTCCTCTTCTGCGGGTCATTAATGAATAGACTAAGTCACATCCTGTGGATCCGTGGGGCAACCTGGTGTTAAGTTTTTTCTGTGCTAAGGGACATTAAGAATAGGTGTAATGTTTGCTATGCTCAGGTAGCCAATTTCAATAAGTGATGGTATTTATTAATTATTATTTTGGTGGAGCTCACTTCGTTCCTAAATTCTATGGCTTTATACAATCTAGTCCTGGTTGATCTTTAATTCGTCAGCTTATTCCAACATCTTCTCTTTAACACTCAAATACATTTTTATTACTTGAGAAAACTACACTAGATCTCTCTACAACATCCTCTGTGCCAAAAAGTGATGTGAAGAAATAATTTAACTCATCTGCAATATCCTTATTCTCCATAACTGTTCCCTTTATTTTCTGGTAGTCCATCAGACCTCCACCAGGGTTCTACCCAGAGTGTCACTGGGCCCTGACTCAGTTTCCCATTCTTCCCCAGGTTAAACAACTTAGACTTCATCCTGCAAGTGTTTTCTCAATAGCTCTCCCTTTTGGAAGTCTGGTTTATTAACATTAAAGTCAAAACACCCACAAATCTTTCAGAAATCTTTCCTGATTGGCTCCGACCCTGAGTGC